TTTACTGAAAACGATATAGTTTGAAGACACGATTTATTTTTGCAAAAACGTCTGGAAAAGTCCAGTTTGAAACTAACTTACCCTAAGGTCATAGAAAAAACAGGGGTCAAACTAAAAAGATAACATGATTCAAAACCTGGAATTTCATTAAGGTATCAGCTGGGATAAAGTCTCAAAAACCTGAAACTTTACTCGAAAAAAACAACTAAAAACTAAACTCTCCCTGTTTCAAGCCATTAACCCATGTGGTGCAAAGAAGAAAACATGGATGGTACATTCAGTTGAAATTCTAGACTTCGTTGGCCTCTAACCGTGCAAATATCTCGTCTAGTCCAAGAGAACGAAACCAGCTCCAACCTTCAAGTTTTAAGTGAACGTCTGGTCCACTGTCACTCATACGTTAGCTTTATTAACATGTTGTAGAACATGCACGTGACTGCGAGTGTGACGCTGCTGGGGGGTCCAGCGTAAAACAAATGGTTAAAACTGTCATTCAGTTTAAAATGGCCATCTAGCATTAAGGCCACTCCATGTAGGATTAAAGGTCCTTCCTATTGGTCCAGGCTGATGTAACACTTGTTTCTTCAGTCAACATTAAGTGTTCAGTTGCTTCTTTAAAGGGAGGGGTCTCGGAAACAAAATCCTCTGAAGGTGGTAGCTGTAGAAAGCTGAAACAACCCTAAGTGTACAGGTCAGTAGGGCGCCACATCAGTAGTTCTTGAAAATTAGCGAATCTAAAAAACAAATCTGAGCTACAAGACTGTAATTGAACTCCAAAAGTGACCGAAAGTCCCAAAAGGCAGCCGCTCAGCTTTCAGTCGGGCAGGCAGATGGGCAGTTAGGGCTCCCTGGAAAACAGATGGCCAGGTTGTGTTAGCTTATGTAACTGGCCGTCAGTGAAAAAGGCCATCTGACACACTCGGACAGACCATCGCGTGTAACCAGGCGAGCGAGTCAGTGAGCGAAGGCGGCCGATAATCGGTCGTTCAGTCGTTGAGACGACGGTCGCACAGCTCCTTGTAGATTCTCTTGCGAATGCGAGGCATGTCGTCCTGACTGAAGAGCAGCGGCTGCTTCACGGAGAGGCGACGGCAGTACTGGCAAACAGAAAGACAAACAGTGGTGAGGTTTTTCCTCTGTGTTATCCAACAAATCAAATTTGTGTAGAAAACCAAGGCAGGAGAAACACTCTACATCTATTTTATTTCCTTTTCTGCCAGGGAGTCGTGAAAGAGATGCATAATCTCACCTCAAGGACGAATACCCCACAGTCGCTGTCGTTTTTCTGCTGAGGAATACCCTGAGGAATAAATCACAGTCAACATTACACCTGCAGCTTTTGGGCTGAACGGTTTGCATAGATTTCAGCTTTATTTACATGCATGCCACTTTATAATTTGACTTAGGACATACAAAGTGAAAGATTTATGTGCAAAAATAAGCAAACTTCAACTTTCCTGAACTACTCTGGGCAAAATAAATAATCTTCCCTGTTTTAAAAGAGCAAAGGTAAGTGGGTGTGTGTTTACACAGGTCTGGGATCAGAGTTACCTTGATTATAGTAATCTTCCAGCCTTTCTGGAAAGCTGTCTGTTTCTTCTCTCTTGCTTCAGACTGAAGGTACTTCATAATGTTCTGATGGGAGGTCACACAGACAGAACCGCTACAGTGATTACGGTGCAGAGATGTAGCATTACAGCACAAGCATGTATTTTAGTACATCTAAAATTCTGCGAGACAGCAAGGTCGGAAACTACATTTGTGTAAATGTTCAGGGAACAGAAGATGCTGTGGATTACACAGGTCTGCAACCAAAAAGCTGCATAGGATTTTTTGACAGTTCCTTATAGACGTTTACTCACTGAAGCCGGGAAAAATATTTGAAAAATT